CAGCACAGAACGCTGCCCTCCGCACAATCACGGGTTGCTATAAAATGTCGCCAATCGATCATCTTCATGCAGAGGCCTCTGTCCTGCCGGTCTCTCTCACTCTTAGACCAGCAGTTCTGTTGGACCTGTTCGCAATCCGGCCATCCTTATCATCACCGTCGCCACGCTCCTGAAAACGGCCGCAGCGTTCGGCCGTTAATTTGAGCGCTCCACAAGAAAGCTGTCGCCTGGTGTCTCTGGGATTCACCCGCTGATGGCACTGTCATCAGGTAAGGCTCCAACGTCTTCATTAGAGAGCCGTTGTCGAGGAAAAACGAAGGTACCATGTCCCGGTCCTTACAGATACCAGCAAAGGATCCAGACATTCTGGCTTCTAATGAACTTCAGAAGTTAACTGTTGTTCTCGATATAGGTGAGTATATTCAAGGTGTATGGGAGTAGACCAAAACTCCATTCTCACATGGCGTTAGACTTTAAAGCCGCTGATTGAGACAGGAATTAGTGTTTTGGTTTGGCACGACGTATTACTGATTTGGTTAAGCATCAAGAAAATCAAGTTAACTTAAATTGCTACCCTAACTGCTTTATTTAATGACTACTTCTGTGTATTTATCATTACTACCACAGATGCCTACTGCAACAATTAACTGTATACCAATTACGCGTTTCTAGTACTGTTATTTTCTTCGAATTAATTTCTTTCTTCAGCTGTCGCACATACTTCCTCTAAACCAGATCACTTTATCTGCTACCCACCTCTCTGAATTGCTGCTCATAAGGCTACCACAGTCGTTGGCTGGGTACATACAGCTCCAAATACATGCTTGATGTACCTTTATTTGGGCAAGTCGCTGTTGCGGTTTCACATTGTTCGTGCGTTCCATATTTGTTTGCGTTTCCGTCACAGCCACCGTAGGTGAATAGCTTGCATACGCCCTTGGCAGCATCGTAGCCGTATCGAGCTAATTCTGCGTCGCAGGTTCCCTTGTCTATAGGCGAATTGCATTTGTCAAAGTGAGCTGAAAGGCAGAAGGGTTAGCCAGTGGGCTATTGAATAGCAATCTAAGGGTTGAACGGCACCTCTGACAGGCCAACACTATCTCTTCGGCGCATACAAACACGATATGGCTTTGCTTAGAAGAGAAACGCGACGATACTGAATGCATATGTCTGTGGTAGCCGGAGGAATGTGGATCATACTGAATATGTGCATAAATAGTTAAAGCGAGTGCAAATGCTAGCACATAAATTACGAACGCCCTTAGACTACTCTCTATTTGCCCACCACAAAAATCCGTATTTTCAATTTTCTCCTTACCTTTATGTGGAATGACAGTCTACTTTAGGGCTGCAAAAGGCTGCTTCGTTAGTTGCCCAATTACACCCAGTAAAAGCCATATCAGTATGCAAGAAATGGAATCTATACTTCAACTGCCAGACCAGACAACAGATGTGGACGGACATTTGAGGTGGCTCCTTACCATTTCGCACAAACCGCACTAAATCAATGCAAGATGAGTCACAACTGCCTGTGACATACATTAGCTATGGCTACTAGGTGGAAAATATTCAGAGAGATAAAGTCAGTTTGCCGGGAAATAAGGTGGTGTTGATAGACATGTATGGACGTGAATAGAGGATAAATTAGGGACGTGCGAAATGGCCTTTCACAGGCCCCATTTATGACCCCTTCCTCCTCATCAACATTCTCATTTGAGCGGCAATCTCCGACTCACTGATAATCAGTAGAATGAGTTATCCCACAAGCCAAACTCCTGTTTACAATGCGATATGCTTACTTAAATGTTTTAAGTAGTTATGATTATGTTGGGTTGCATTCTTCGCAAGTGTCTGGAAAGGACTGATTCAGTTGGTTTAGGAGCAGTAGAATCTGATAATTTCCAGGCTGAACTTGTACTTTAGCATTCCAGCTGCACGAATACCAACAAAAAGCTCAACTAGGTGTCTCACCGGTACTTTGCCGCTGCTTGATACAGCTGCGGGAGGTCTTGCTCATAGAGCTCATCCTATTTGTCGCATGGGTGACATTTTGTTTTGAACGTTCCACAGAAGTCAATTTCTGTTTTCGCTATAGATAAGTATATTTAAAGTCTATGTGTGTAGACCAAAATTTCATTCACATATTAGGTTACATTTTAAAGCCGGGGGTAGGAATTGGGCTCTTCCGTTGGCACGACAAATTACTGATTTGGTTAATGATTAATATATTCTACTAAAATTAAATATCTGCCCTAACTGATATCTTAAACGACTAGTCCTGATTACTACGTATTACTACCAATCACGTCTAATTCTACGGCTCACTTTATATCAATTTCGCGTATCTGCCAATGCTCCTGTAACAAATGATGTGCTCGTTCGGAAACTTGAAACTTTCTGCAAGTACATTTCTTTTTTAGCTATTGTTTCTATTGCTTCTCAACCATGTCACTATATCCCCAAC